TTAGTTACCCTACCTCCTGGGGTTAAGTATCTCTGCAGTGACCTGTCAGAGAGTTGATTATTAGCTGTATAAAGCCAGGGATGCTGTAGGGAGCAGATGGGAAGTGGTTTGGCTGCCACAGTCTGACCGATTAAAGAACCCCTGGCAATTTTACAGTATATCTTTGGAAATGTACCACCAAAATTACTGTGAAGCCTTTTGAGTTTGGAAAGCCGAATTTCTGAAAAGTCACCTGGTTGCAAAGTAGTACTCTCCAGAATAGGACAGGGGCTCTCTAAAAGGACATTAGGACCACTAAAGATCAGTCCTCAAAGATGTGTTTGCTTTGTTTGCCTCCTGGTCTTTCAAAAATTCTGGGTAGTTTTCTAGTAAGGAAAGCACCTTTTGATAGGTATATTAGTAGAATTGTAGATTTGAAAAAGGACATAGACATGTCCAGACTAACCCTACTACAAATAGGGGATCTTTTATGTATTTACTTAACAGGTGATTATGCTTTTTCTGCTCAAATACTTTCAGTGATAAAGACATGGCTTCATTAAACATTGTGGGTCATTGTTGGAAATCTCAGGTTATTAAATTTTTTCCTGAGTTAAACATCTGTCTCTCTGTAACTTCTAATCACTGATTCTATTTCTACCCTCAGCATCACAGACTTTCTCTTTTCCATATCGTAACCATCATATAGTTGTAGCTAACCAGCCTGTCTCCCTTCAGTGTTCCTTCCACACTAAAGAATCCCAATTTCTAAGACCTTTCCTCTTATGAAATGGCTTCTCAGTATTTTACCATACTATACTCTACAGGATACCTTAATGAATATCTTACTTAAGATATGGAATCTGGCAATGAGCACAGGCTATCAAATGTTCTTTTCATCTCCAGCTCCCTTTTCAGAAGAAACACAATTTCAAAAAAATGTAATGGAAATATTACTTGCTTACTAGAAAAAACAATTTGCGGGCCGGCCCGGTGGCTCACTTGGGAGAGTGCGGTGCTGATAACACCAAGGCCCCGGGTTCGGATCCCATATAGGGATGGCCGGTTCGCTCACTGGCTGAGCGTGGTGCTGACAACACCAAGTCAAGGGTTAAGATCCCCTTACCGGTCATCTTTTTAAAAAAAAAAAAAGAAAAAGAAAAAAAAGAAAAAACAATTTGCCATGACATATGGAATTGGAAAAAGAGAAATTTGAGGAATTATCAGCTTTATAACTTATGGTTTGTCTTTCCTTATTAAGGCTAATCTTTTTGAGCTTCTGTATTATTGTAAAGTATTGATTTTGCCTCACATTTTTAGGGGGGATAAATCTTGATATCTGCATTGAGTTTACTCTTCAGATTACAAAAAATTCAGTTGGCTTTTTTTTTTTCAGTTGATATAAGAATTATTTAAATTTATGCTACATTGAATTGATTTTAGTGCTTTAGGTAATTTTTAACGAGATGGACGTATATGTGTTCTTACATATGACAGACAACTTGGCTTAGTGTAAAATTCTTGACTGACAACCTTTTCAGAAGTCCATAGATTTTCATTCTCTTTTAACATTTAATATTGCAGAGCAGTCTGAGGTTGGCCCAATTTTTGTCCTTTGTAATTTAAAAATTTTGCCAGAATGTGTGCAAGGTTGACTTTTTAAATTGATTTTGCTGAAAATGTAATGAACCTTTTCAGTCTGCATATAAGATCTTTATTCAGCTCGAGATGTTATTTATTATGTCTTTGATAGGTTGCTTTTCTCCCATTTGTTCTAGTCTCTTCTTCAGTTTTCCTTTAGTAGTATTAGATACTTTATCTCTCAATTTCCTTCATTTTCTTTTCACTGTCCTTTTCCTTTTCATAGTGGAAAAATAACTTTTCTTGTAACTCACTGATTCATTTCCCACAATTTCAGTTGCATGCTTTTCTGATTTCTGTATGAATTTTAATTGACAATGCATTTTTTCCTTTCCTTCCATCTTCCTTTTTTTAAAAAAAAAAAAAAAAGTTATATCCTTTTGTCCTTTCAGTTAAGTTATATCTTTTCATTTCAGCCTGTCTTCTTAATGCTCTCTTTCTTACTGGCATTCTTTGTTTATCCTGCCTCATACAACAGGCCAGCCAGTTTAGTAGAGTGAGAACTCTCAAGAACTCTCAGAAAACACTTAACTTTTATTTTTATTTTTTTTATTTTTTATTTTTTGGGTGGCTGGCTGGTACAGGGATCCAAACCCATGACCTTCCTGTTATCAGCACTGCGCTCTAACCAAATAAGCTAACTGGCCAACCCTTAACACTAACATTTTTGTATGTTTTATGCTTTCCTTTATATACTCCTCTGGAGTCTCTCTTCCATTACCATCCTGTTTTCTTTCTTTTTTTTTTTTTTTTTTCCTTTTTGTCTTTTTTACTGACCGGTAATGGGATCGCAACCCTCGGTGTTGCGCCTGCACCGTGCTCAGCCAGTGAGCGGGAACCGGTCTCCACATGGGATCCGAACCCTCGGCAGGAGCGCCTCCGCGCTCCCAAGCAGCGCACTCTCCAGTGCGCCACCGGGCTGGCCCAACCATCCTATTTTCTAGAGGAAGATCTTTTGAATCTGAGGAAGGTCTTTTGAATCTAAGGGAAGTTTTATTGCTTTTCCAAAGACAAAACAACATGGGGTTGTTTTAATGGTTAAATTACATATTGATGATAGTGTAACTCTGGAGGATAGTAGGTGAATGTTAAATTAATGTGAGTTATATTCTAAGCCTAGCCACAATTGCAAAGATTGCAGAGGTGACAGATTATGATTTGGGGAAGAACTGTGCTCTAATAATCCTCTATATGGTGATTCAGTTGGCATTCCCTTTCCTAGAAATGCCCTCTGCCTCTCACAAAAGAATTATTTTCAGTACCATGTTCCGCTGCGTTCGCTGTTTCATTTGCTGCTGTATTCCCAGCACCTAGTTTAGTGCCTGGCATATATAGTAGGCAATAAATAAAAATTTTTCGGGCTGGCCTGGTGGCGCACTGCTACATTGCGCCACTTGGGAGCGTGGTGGTGGCGCTCCCGCCGAGGGTTCGGATCCCACATACAGACCGGCTGCTCACTGGCTGAGCGAGGTGCGGACGCAGCACCGAGGGTTGCGATCCCGTGGCTGGTCCTGGTCCGGTACGGGCGCGACACTGAGGGTTGCGATCCATTGCCGGTCATGAAAAAAGACAAAAAAGAAAAATAAATAAATAAATAAATAAAAAATTTTCAAATGAGCAAACAGATATCTAGTACACTACTATTTCATGGAGGCCAAGTGTTCTTGTGTAGTGTTGAGAATTCCTGTTTGCTAAAAACTTCTTTAGAATTCTAGATCACTTTCAGAGAAATCATCTCTGACTCTTCTGAGATTGTTTCCTTTACCTTGTGGGTGACATTTTTTTCATAGTTCCTTCATCATGCGTGTTTTCCCGCCAACTTTTTGCTCATCCTTTATAAAGTAAGATCTATATAGACTTGACATTTGTTAATAAATAGTAGTTGGTTGCTGTTGACAGTTCTCTGCTTGGGTAATGGGTATATTTTCTTTTCAGATCTACAGCTAAATGGCAGATTATTGATCACAACTCTCTCTCTCAAATTGCAGTTGCTAGCAGGCATTCACCTGGTACAGCCCTGTTCTAGGATGACATTTTTTTTCTTGCCCCTGCACCGTGGTTCTTTGATACTGTTCTGAAGGAGCAGATGAAAAAGTACAATTTGTCCTGTCTCTGTACTATCTATAGCACTTACCTATTAGATATCTACTTAGCAGGATACATTGTGACAATACTGGCTTGCCCTTTCTGTGCACTCAGCTTATAAAAATTATTTTCTTTTTTTGTTGTTGTTGTTGTCCTTTTTGAGACCGGCCGCACCGCGCTCAGCCAGTGAGCACTGTGAGCGCACCGGTCATCCCTATATAGGATCCGAACCCGTGGCGGGAGCGCTGCAGCACTCCCAGCACCACACTCTCCCAAGTGCGCCATAGGCTCGGCCCTAAAAATTATTTTCTAAATGGATATAGAAAGATGGTGGACAGAGGAGTAAGCAAGAATAGAACTCTTTGGCTTTATCATAAATAAATACCTGGATGGTATATGTTGACTGCCAGGTTTTCTAGATGGTACACTCCCCAATTTTCATGAGTCAGGAGATAGTGGAGAGATATAAATTGCCCTTTTAATTATCCTTCCCCCCTCTTTTTAACCAGTCTGTTTCATGTGGAGTAAGTCCCCAGTGTTTGTCAATACAGTGTCTTCAGTCTTATACAAGAAAGTGGAGAGTTATCCCACATTCTGGAGTTAGGTTTTTTAGTAGTATCCAGTTTTTGATAGTATTTTTCTTTTTCTGTATCTTCATAAATTTTTTGGTGGGAAGTGGGAAATACCACAATGAATCCTGCTATTCAGACATAATTCGAAACCTGGATTTTGATAAGGATGATTTAACTTCTCTGAACTTAAGCTGACTGATTGAGTCCTGGCTGAGAATTGTCTCTTCTGGTTGCAGTCTTTGCCCCCTGTTCTGAAGTTGCATTTTTCCCAGTTCTGCCTGCATTTCTCTTTTATTCTTACTTAACTGTAATGAGACTTCTCCACCCAATAGTAGGATGACAAAGAATCTATACTGTTTTTAGTAGGAACAGGCCCTGTTAGTAGAGGGCTTTTAAAGCTTTTGCTAGATCATGTTCTGAATCTGAAAATTCAGGAAGCAACAAGGAGAAAAGGGGAATGAGTAAAGTTGTGGTAGAGCTTGAATCTGTGATATGCTAGGGCCTGTATTGATTGAGGGAGGATTGCCCGCTAACAGTGGTAATAGAAATAAATCTCTCAGGAATTGGAAACTAACTCTAGAGGACTCCTAGTTAAGACTTATCACAGAATCTCCAGGCAGTTGGAAATATTGTACTCCTGGGGAGATGGAGTGGGAATAAACTTTTCCCTAGGTCCAGTGTGATTTGGTTAGAAATACAGTTGAACCTGTTTGTCCTGTCCCTAATGATGTGATAACCCCATAGGAGGGGTCTGCTTTGTGTGGGAGTTTATTTCAGGCTATCTCCTTGCCTGTATTGTTTCCTTTAACAGTTTTTTAAATTTTCTTTTTCCAGCAATGATGTTGTCCACTGGGCATGTACTGACCAATGTGGCAGGTCTGAGAACATAGCTGAAGCTGAAAATAGGAAAGCTGGGGGCAAGGAAGAGCCTTGAATCTTGAGGTGGGACGTTGACTCTAAGATGTCCTTGAGCAGTGGAGCCTCCGGAGGGAAAGGAGTGGATGCAAACCCGGTTGAGACATACGACAGTGGGGATGAATGGGACATTGGAGTAGGGAATCTCATCATTGACCTGGACGCCGATCTGGAAAAGGACCAGCAGAAACTGGAAATGTCAGGCTCAAAGGAGGTGGGGATACCGGCTCCCAATGCTGTGGCCACACTACCAGACAACATCAAGTTTGTGACCCCAGTGCCAGGTCCTCAAGGGAAGGAAGGCAAATCAAAATCCAAAAGGAATAAGAGTGGCAAAGACACTAGCAAACCCACTCCAGGGACTTCCCTGTTCACTCCAAGTGAGGGGGCAGCTAGCAAGAAAGAGGTGCAGGGGCGCTCAGGAGATGGTGCCAATGCAGGAGGCCTGGTTGCTGCTATTGCTCCCAAGGGCTCAGAGAAGGCGGCTAAGGCATCCCGCAGTTTAGCCGGCTCTAAAAAGGAGAAGGAGAACAGCTCATCTAAGAGCAAGAAGGAGAGAAGCGAAGGAGTGGGGACTTGTTCAGAAAAGGATCCTGGGGTCCTCCAGCCAGTTTCCTTAGGAGGACGGGGTGGACAGTATGATGGAAGTGCAGGGGTGGATACAGCAGCTGTGGAGCCACTTGGGAGTATAGCTATTGAGCCTGGGGCAGCGCTCAATCCTTTGGGAGCTAAACCGGAGCCAGAGGAAGGGGAGAATGAGTGCCGCCCGCTAAAGAAAGTCAAGTCTGAAAAGGTAAGAGGTGGCCAGATCTGGCTGCCCACTGCCAGTCAGAACTGCCCTGGACTATCTGCCAAATGCTATGTGCACTCTGTGGGAGGCTCATTAGTTTGTGGGTAATGACCAATTACAAGGTCAGAGCAGCTGGTAATGATAATGTGGTTTTGTTCCAAATTAGAGGATTCTCTACAGACTTATTTACAGCAGGCTTGGACATTTTGGAACAGGATATCTGTTGTTGGGGGTAACTACTTGATAGAATGAATTTTCTGTAGTCTGAGGTGAGACCCTTCCATCTTGTCCTTGTTCCACCTTAGATACTTGCTGCTAGAGGCTGATATCAAACCTTTTTGTGATTCCCAGCTTGATGGGCATTTCATCATCAGAATCATATGAGTTAATAAACTTAATAGGCTTTTGGTTATATATATAGTTCAAGTGCTGTTCTTAATGGGAAAATGGTGCTGCTGGGCCTCTGGAAGAGTAAAGGGTTAATTATGTTTCATGGCATACCCACTAAGTGTTCTATTGGTGGTTACCAAAGAGCAAAGGGGCACAGTTTTGGGGTAGGTAAACAAGGGGCAGGAGGTACTGACTGTACTATGAGGTATTTAATCAGGCTTTATGAGTTAGTGTTGTGGCTATGAAAGTTTGGCCTTGAAAGAGATTCTTTGGCCACTAAAGAGGTAGCTCTTTGCCAGGTATCTCTCACAACTATTGGGAATCGAAGTCTTCTGGTGGTTTAATAGCTGCCAAACAGTGTAATGATACCTTGCCTTCTGCTTAACTTGAAAAGACAGGTGCCTGTGGCCCCAGGAGGGGTTAGAACTGAGTCCCTCTGGGAAGACGATCTTAGTTCATGTCTCAGGAAATGAAGCTTGCAGGGCTGGTGCAGATTAGGTATGAGTCTAGGGTCAGCTCAGGCTGCCTTAAACTTCAGCAGCTAACAATTTCCTACAAAGTGGCCGGCCTGGTGATGAGCTGTTATTGGCTCTTCATTTTCTGCTGTGTGCTCTGCTCACCCTGTGCTTTCAGCTGATCCCAGCAGATGCAGTATAAAATGATTTCTCTGTAATTACATCAGCTGCAGCAGGGAATACCTATTTCCATATGTAAGTGTTAATAAATAAAGCCTGGATGTGTATGTTTGGGTGGTGGTGCCCTCTTAGTGCCTGGATTCCTGTGGTAGTTTGTGCTTTCTTTGCTGTCGGTATTTTGGTCTTTGCCTCTGGCACATCTGTGGCTCTCAGCAACATCTGGGCTTCTCTGGTAACAGGGCTGTGAATTTCTTTCACTAATAACACAATGGTTCATTCCCTTTTACCACTGGCAGCTGCCTGAGAGGCTGCCTGTGTTTAGGTGGCAGATGCTATAGTCCACTTCAGCAGAGTCAAGTTCCAGCTGGTTACTGGCATGGCTTATTCTGTGCTGGATGTGATTTGCCATTTTCTCTGGGGTGCAGATGGATAATACTATTTTAAAGAGGCCTAGGAGTACCAGGAGTTCTTGCTTCTGTTCCAGCCCATTAGACTGTTCCCTACATCTGGTTTCAGGAAACTCTTGCCATGTATATCCATGTTCACAATCATTATTCTCCCTGTGCTGAAAAGCACTTCTGAGTGTGGCCTTCATTTTCCTTTCTGTTTAGAGAACTTGACTCGTGTTGGAATCTTCTAAGCCCAGTAGTAGTCTGTGGGTGAAAGGATTAATGTTGCTTAGCTTCATATTGGATTTAAGTTGAAATGTGCATGATTATCTCCTACAGAGAAGCAAATGGAACCCATTTTCTCTCATATGGATGCAGGTACTGGTTGGGTAACTGCCCTTCAGATTATAGTTGGGCTGAAAGATGCAGTCCATTCAGCTAAGAATACACCTTGGTGCCAGGGAGTTTTGCCTCTTAATTAAATGTAGCTTTGCTAAAAGCCTTGCCTCCCAGGGAGACTCTGAGAATGAGGCAGTGAAATGAGGGAGAAAAGGGAAAGAGACTGGGATTCAATTTTTTCAAGAAAGATGAAATTGCTGGAAAGTATTTTTAGAAGCAGAAAATTTTCTGTGTAGTTTAATGTTACCATTAAGAGCCTGCTTTCTCAATTCCTTTCACCCGTTCCCTCAACCCTTTTGGACAATTTGGTACTGGGGGTGCTTTTCTATATTGCCTTTGGCCATTGAAATAAATAATTATTTAAATAAATATTTGGAAGTCACTAGGACATAAAAACACTGCAGGTAGAGAGCATTTCTGGAATAGGAGGAGAGGAAGAGGCAAGTTAAAGGAAAGAAAGTTAGGAATCTTGCAGTGGAGCAGCTTTTGAGAAACAAGAACCGCAGGGTTTTGGGCATAATAGGTGCTCAATCAGTGTTTGATGCTAAGTACTGTCGTTATAAGCAATGTCTTTGAAGACCTCTTTAAGATTTTCTCTCTGAGATATGGGCTTGCTTATGGCCTAACTGGTTTGGAATGTTCCTTCTATGTAGGTACAACCAACAGAACCAAAACAGCAAAACATGGGGCCGGCCCGGTGGCGCACTGCTGCAGTGCGCCGTTTGGAAGTGCGGCGGCGCTCCCGCCGAGGGTTCGGATCCCACATACAGACCGGTTCCCGCTCACTGGCTGAGCGAGGTGCGGGCGCAACACCGAGGGTTGCGATCCTGTTGCCGGTCCCGGTCCGGTACGGGCGCGACACTGAGGGTTGCGATCCGTTGCCGGACAAAAAAAAAAAAAAAAAAAAAAAAAAAAAAAAAAAACCAGCAAAACAGACGTTTTGTTATAACTAGGAATTGCTTACTCTAAGCTGGGAAGAGGGAAAACTCATAAAATTTGGAAAGTGTCTTGACTGGAGTCTTTTCCCCCTTTGGAAATAGGAGAGAAGATAGAAGATTCTGTGGTGCAAGGTAGAATTGTCCACTACTAGCTAATGAGGGAGATTTGAATAATCAAATTATCTACCCTAGGGCCTTCTCTCTCATCAAGATAGGTATTTCAGACTATGGCCAAGCAAATTTTTCTAATTAGCCAAGGATGTGGATTTCCCTTCATGGGATCCCACTTGTGCTTCATCATACCTCCCTCTGGCTGGGCATGATCACTGTGCCATTTCCCAGGGTTCTAGGAGAGACCAGAGATGGCTCTTAGCAACTGCTGCTGCCCTGAATTGTTATTGAACACTCCTGCCTCATACTTCCTGCCAGCTGAAGAGATGGGGGAGGGAATGTTGAGGAATAAACAAGACAGAGCCTTCTGGCTTCTGCCTGTTCCTTTGCCTTTGGTTTGATTGATAGGTTAAGTTAGGGATGGAAGGGGAGGTAGAGAGGAGGGAGGGCGCCTGAGTGTCCTGAGCTTAGTGCTTGTGTCGCCACTCTGACAGGCAAGAAAAAAGGAATTTACAAACCACAGATCTATATGTGCTGATTCTGTCAGGGCTTAAAAAAAGGTGAGACTCCTTCCCGGCCCCCTCCCCCGCCTCAAATAATGTAAAGTAACCTGTATGCTGTATTGGCTACAGGATCTAGAAGTTTGCAGCCAGAAGCTCCCCCTCGCCTCTCTTTAGCTGCTGCTTTTGATCTTGCAAGGTAGGAACACTCTACTTTCCCCATGTTTGTGTGTCAGCTGCTGCTGCTCTCAAAATGCTGCATACATTTACCACTTCCCTGTTAGTTTAGGATACAGAGAAAATGATAAAGTGTGCTCTTTGCCTTACGCCTTTTGATCATGCTTGCTATCATATCCTGTGTTCTAAGAGAGTCTTCCTTTGCCCTTGGTTTTGTATTCCTGCCCTAGTTTGTGCCTTCCAGCTCCATTCTCTTGTTTTGCAATCCTTCATTGCCCAACCAAGGTCGGGTCTCTTATTCCTTCTGATCCAAGGCTTTCTCTCTTAACAGATTCCTCCTTCACTATAGATGTTCTTAGCTATCGATGGCACAGCAATAAGCCTTGCTTCCTGAAGCCAAATGCCCTCTAGCATTTTCCTTCATGGAAAAAATAAAAAAGAAGTTGATAATTATGTGGAACAAAGTTACATTCTTTTTTTTTTTAAAGATGACCGGTAAGGGGATCTTAACCCTTGACTTGGTGTTGTCAGCACCACGCTCACCCAGTGAGCAAACCGGCCATCCCTATATGGGATCCGAACCCGTGGCCTTGGTGTTATCAGCACTGCACTCTCCCGAGTGAGCCACAGGCCAGCCCGCCACTTCTAATTTAAAACACCAACCTTCTAAACTTATATTTCGCATCAACCCTTGTGTATAATTTAGAGGTTATGAGTGTAAGCCACTTCTAATTTAAAACAACAACCTTCTAAACTTATATTTCGCATCAACCCTTGTGTATAATTTAGAGGTTATGAGTGTAAATTCTGGACCCAGACTACCTGGGTTTGTATCCCAGCTCTGCCACTTAATAACTGAGTGATCTTGACCAAGTTACTTAACCGTTGTGCCTCAGTTTCCTCATCTGCACGATGAAGAAAACTAATACCTGCATGAGGTTGTTGTGATGTTAAATTAGTTAATTCATATAAAACACTTAGAACAATGCCTGGCGCACAGGAAGCATTCAGTAAGTACTGGAAAAAAGAAAAACATGATTTGAGTTTAAATGTGTCTCAATCTGCCCTAGGCAATAATGGACTGAACTATAACAACATTCCACTATACAGAAAACCCAGTACGAATAGATAAACATGTTGGCTAAGACTTTCGGCACTATGATCAGAAGTTTCAAACCTGAGTTGGGAAATTTGCCTGCTGGTGATGTGTTCTAAAGCCCCTGATATTTATAGTCTGGGGGGTGTCGGGGGGACACAAAAATTGGCTTCAGAGGATATTGAAGTGGCCTGTTGAATTTCAGATTTCATATGAATTGAGTTTTCTTTCTGGCCATATCCCTGGTGTGGGGTTGGGTATGTTGAATTGATGTTACTGTGGGTTTGCCAGCATTTGCAATCTCCAGGACTCTGGAAGAGCACTAAATGTTTTTGTTTCTATACAAAATGCATGGAGAATCTAAGTTC